AATGTATAAAGCAATGGCTAAAACAAAGAAAACAAAGGGTCGTGCTAAATGGGAATGAATCTTATTAGAGCAATGTGTCAAGTGGCCCCAAAATGGACCCAAAATGGACCACAGGGGTCCATTTTGGGGCCAACCCTTTTTGTCATATACATCAATGACATAGATGAGAATATTACAAACCATATCATCAAACTTGTAGATGACACAAAGATTTATGGTAAAGTAGGAAATGATAATGATATTGAAGCCTTACAAAGAGATTTACAGGAACTCTACAAATGGTCAGATGACTGGCCAATGCTTTTTAATATTGACAAATGCAAGACCTTGCATATGGGACATAACAACCCGCCCCACAACTACCAAATTAATAACATTACATTACAGCAGAAGAGAATGACCTTGGAATCAAAATCCACCACTCACTGAAAGTTACACAACAGGTGGGAGCAGCAGTCAAAAAAGTTAACCAAACACTTGGAATAATCAAGTGTACCTTTGACTTTAAGGAAAAGAAGGCAGTGATTCAACTGTATGAATCTCTGGTGCGCCCCCCCCCCCCGTTTGGATTACTGTATACCAAACATGGAGACCCCTCTTCAAGAGGATATAGCTGCTCTGGAGAAGGTGCAACACCGGGTAACAAAAATTATTCCAGAGCTAAGTTAACTCAGGTATCAGGAACGATTGAGGGCCACAGGGCTAACAACAAGACATGACAGGGCGGTCGATCTCATTGAAACTTTTAAAATACTGAACAATTTGGAAGATGTTGATCCAGATAATTTCTTCAAACGATCAGTTGTAACACAAACAATAAACAAGACAAACAGATGTAACACAAACAAGCTCAACAAGCCACAAAGTAGGACCGAGAAAAGGAGATGTTTTTTACCCACAGGGATATAAACCCATGGAACTGCCTACCCGCCCAAGCCGTAAATGCCAAAACTCTGTTAACTTTTAAAGTACAGCTGGAAAAGAGCATCAAGGCAAATGGGAGGACTTTCAACAAGCCGCCGACTTCCTGTCCTCGTCGAGGCCACTAGTGTCAGTGGCTCTCATATAAACTCAGTTCGTGAGCCCATCATGTACCTCTTTAACTGCCACCACCACGCGCACAAGATGGGTATTAGTGTGTATAATTAATTAGATATTTACAAACAAACGATAGGCCTTGTGGAGGATTATGACAAGGAATGTATCTCGGTGTTCCATAATATTTCCATATTTTTCCTCAAATTACGCTAGTTATTCAGTGAAGAATTCCAGTAGGGTGACTCTCGGAGCACCACACAAGTATAATATCGTGTAGAGCAACACTGTGAATCAACGTTTGTTAGGTATAAAGTACGAGGGAGCGGCGCCCTACCCTGACACAGGGAGAGAGTATACTGGTTCCTCCCACACGTCAAGCCAATGTCTGCTGCTGCTGCTGCTGCCCCTGTCTGCTCCCCGCCACCCTCTATATGCTGCCTCCACGCGTGTAGGCTGCCTCGCCTTCCACACTCACGCTTCCTCGTGTAAACTGAATGCAAATGAACGTCATGTTTTATATTTATATATATTTTTAAACTAATATCTAATATGTTCCGGAAGAGCAGAAACCAGGTTGAGCGGTATCTATGGGGAGCACGACGAACACTGTCAAGAACCGTATTGATTTTTGGCATGGCGAACACTCTATCTTGCAACACATATTACAGGTGTGTCTACCATGCAACACACATTACAGGTGTGTCTACCATGCAACACACATTACAGGTGTGTCTACCATGCAACACACATTACAGGTGTGTCTACCATGCAACACACATTACAGGTGTGTCTACCATGCAACACACATTACAGGTGTGTCTACCATGCAACACACATTACAGATGTGTTTACCATGCAACACACACATTACAGATGTGTCTACCATGCAACACACATTACAGATGTGTCTACCATGCAACACACACATTACAGGTGTGTCTACCATGCAACACAAATTACAGGTGTGTCTACCATGCAACACACATTACAGATGTGTCTACCATGTAACTAAAAAAATAAAATAATTATCTATCCCTCTATCCTTCCATCCACCAACTTAAAAATTGTCCTACTCATCTTTCTATTTATTCATTTATTTATCCGACTGTCCATCCATCTATCCATCCATTTGCTCATCTGTCTATTGCAACCCGTTCTCGCACTTTCTTATAGTCAATATTGACTTATTAAATACGTGCATATGTGACATACTAATTTATTGTGAATATTTTAGTTTACCTTGAAAAGCTTCATAGAAAACACCGACCTTACCTAACCTTCTTAGTATGTTAAGATAAGCATTTTATTGCTTCGTAATTACAATTATTATTTAACCTATTATAGGTATAGGTTAAGTAATAATTGTAATTACAGATGAGTAAATTATGCCCGAAACGCTTTGCGTAATAGTGGCTTTAGGCATTGTATGTACTAGCTCTACCTATAAGTCAACCAATCCTTGTAAAAATTTATTGTATGTATGTACCTTACCTAAATAAAATTGTATTGTATTGTATTGTATAAATGGATGGATAGATGGATGGACAGTCGGATAGATAAATGAATATAAATCTGAATGAATAAATGAATGATAAATGAATATAAATCTTGTTTATCTGTATCTTTTGCTACCCAGTCTCCCAATCTTTATGTACCCAATCTGAACATCTTTACCATTGTGATCATTGCTGTCTTATATGTGCTGTCAATCTGCTGTATGGTGTCTATTAACTTTGTTTAAATTACTAATCAAGCTGTCAATGTAATCAATCAGAGCTTTAATATAACAATATGCTTTAATATACCTACTTATCTCTCTCATCTCATTTTTCTCTTGTAATGTATCTTTATCATTTATCAATTCTGATTGAAATTACCTACTTATAATTATCTGCTAGATTAAGGACCTGCCCGAAACGCTGTGCGTACTAGTGGCTTTACAAGAATGTAAATACTGTACTATCCAATGTATTCTCACAAACCCAATGTACCTTCTTGTATATATATAAATAAATAAATAAATAAATAAATAAATAGAAAGATGAGTAGGACAATTTTTAAGTTGGTGGATGGAAGGATAGAGGGATAGATAATTATTTTATTTTTTATTTTATTTATACATATACAAGAGTGAGAAAATCCGAAGGAGCCGTAATGAGGGTTCGAACCTATGTGGAGGGTGTTCCCACGCACACATGCTAGCGATTGGACCACGACATGGTATAAGGATTGCAACCTAGAGTTCTACTGAACACACAAGGATATCCTGAAGCTTCTACTGAAGCCGAACCAGAGTTTCACACAATCCTTCCCCCTCCCATGCACTCTGGCTCTGTCCTCCAGGACTCGTTCTACCTCTGACGCTCCTCTACCTCGGTGGAAACACCCACCGCATGGGTTCGAATCCTCATCACGGCTCCTACGGATCTTATTATTGATGTAGTCACGTTAGCCTTCACGTCACGTCACGTCACCTTTCCATTAAAACTAAGTCTAGTGCTCTAGAGGAGATACCAACTTTAATTTACAAAAAAAGCCTCCAGATCTTTAGCTCCTGCTATTGCACTGCTCTTCAACAAGTCACTTGAACTCCAAACCTTTCCAGATATTCTAAAAAATGCGAGAGTAACCCCTATCCACAAATGTGGTGATCTCACTGATGTTAACAACTACAGACCTATATCAATCCTGCCAAACTTGTCAAAAATATTTAACAAACTAATCTACAAGCAGCTTTACTCTTATCTAGCCAAACACAATATACTTAGCTCTTGTCAATATGGCTTCAGACCCCCCAAAAAAGTACTAACGATGCACTTATTAGTATGATTAACTTGATACATTCAGCTCTTGATAAAAATGAGTTCCCTGTTGGGATATTTGTGGACCTACGTAAGGCTTTTGACACTGTCAACCACGAAAACCTTCTACTTAAATTACATCATTATGGAGTCAGAGGACACTCCCTACAATACCCCAAGTCTTACCTTACTGACAGGCTCCAGTATGTTTCTGTGAATAATTCCATTTCTCCGACCCTACCCATCAACATTGGTGTTCCCCAGGGCAGCATACTTGGACCTCTCCTCTTTCTCGTCTACATTAATGACCTTCCAAATTTATTTGTTTATTTATTTAATCCATGAATGTTTGTATCACACGTTGTATGTATGAATTTTACCTGAATAAACATTTGAATTTGAATATTTGAATTTAGTGTGATTACTCTCTGTGTGCTGCAACCCGTCCTCCGAATTGAAAGTACGTTTTAATACTAAGCATGAAAAGTACATTTCTTGACTGTCATACATAGTACATAATTGCACTTATGGGGCTGTTACATTTACCTCACCATTTATTTCTCCTCTTTTCTATTATGATACTCAGAATTTTTGGATGAAATTTTAAAGTTTAATTTGCTATACACAAGTTTTAAATATCAGGAATTTCTTTTTCAATTTTTTAAAGTTAGTTTAGTTCATTTATTATGCACCCCATACCCATCTTGTAGGCGGTAGTAGAAAGGTGAGGAGTGAGGGAGGGTGAGGTGGCCAGGTGAGGAGTGAGGGAGGGTGAGGTGGCCAGGTGAGGCGTGAGGGAGGGTGAGGTGGCCAGAGGTGAGGGGAGGGTGAGGTGGCCAGGTGAGGAGTGAGTGAGGGTGAGGTGGCCAAGTGAGGAGTGAGGGAGGGTGAGGTGGCCAGGTGAGGAGTGAGCTGGAGGGTGAGGTGGCCAGGTGAGGAGTGAGAGAGGGTGAGGTGGCCAAGTGAGGAGTGAGGGAGGGTGAGGTGGCCAGGTGAGGAGTGAGGTGGCCAGGTATAAGTGTTGTGTAGGGTGCGCTTGGCGACCGTCTGTGGCAGTCTAATAGTCACGCCATCCCTCGCCCTTACCTGTTACCTCACCTCTACCTCACTTCCCCCTCACCTCTACCTTCCCTCACCCTTGCCAACGGCTACAACAAACAAATCTCATTATTCCTCCTCATAAATGAACTCAATTGAGCGCATGAGTTTGTAATGCGATCCAAGTTAGGTTGATGAGTTGGTGTTGGGTTGAGTGGCGTGACTATTGTCAGTGTTGTTGTGAGTGAGTGAGTGAGGAGCCTTCAGCCTCTCTCATTAACACGCTCCTCATTAACGCCACACACCTTCCTCACCCTTGGGATGGCCACCATCCTCTCACAGTATAGTACAACCGGGTTCTGTAAGTTGCTTGTGGTTGGTGGATAACTGGTGGTGTGTGTGTGAGTGGTGAGGTGTCGGGGCCACAGCTACCTCATGACTGCCTCTAGACTACCTCTAGACTACCTCTAGACTGCCTCATAACTACCTCTTGACTACCTCTAGACTGCCTCATGACTACCTCTTGACTGCCTCTAGAGTACCTCTTGAGTACCTTTAGACTACCTCTTAGACTACCTCTAGACTGCCTGATGACTCCTACCTCTAGACTGCCTCATGACTACCTCTAGAGTACCTCTTGACCACCTCTAGACTACCTCATGACTGCCTCTTGACTACCTCATTACCACCTTTAGACTATATCTTATTTAGGGCTACAAACTTTAGACTACAGCCGAGTAGACAGCGCTTCGGATTCGTAGTCCTGAGGTTCCGGGTTCGATCCCCGGTGGAGGTGGAGACAAATGGGCAGAGTTTCTTTCATCCTGATGCTCCTGTTTATCTAGCAGTAAATAGGTATCTGGGAGTTAGACAGCTGCTACGGACTGCTTTTTTGGGGGGGTGTAGCAGAAAGTAGGCCTGGTCAAGGACCGGGCCGCGGGGACGCTAAGCCCCGAAATCATCTCGAGATAACCGAGATAACGGCAAGTGCATGTATCGCCTGGGGTCGAGGGGAAATTTCGTTTCCCAGAACCAAATTTAACATGGGGTGCCGTTCCATTCATGAGGGGATACATTTTCCAGACCTCCATAAATAATCATGCTGTACAAAACCCATTTTTTTATATAAAAAATTGCAGGTTATTTAATGTTAATAATGGTGTTTCGGTGCTGGTTTACAATAGTCGTAATTATTGGAAGTAGTAGTCTGATTGGTAGCCCTAGAAGTGAAGAAGTCTGATTGGTAGCCCTAGAAGTGAAGAAGTCTGATTGGTAGCCTTAGAAGTGAAGAAGTCTGATTGGTAGCCTTAGAAGTGAAGAAGTCTGATTGGTAGCCTTAGAAGTGAAGAAGTCTGATTGGTAGCCTTATGTTTACTGGATAACCCATGACTGGGTACAAGTGAATCGCTCGTATTTGAACATTCTTGAAATATTTTGGAAATCATTTTTTTTTTTTTTGTTTTCTCCTAGATGACCAACTGACTAATAGAATTTCCATGTTGATTCTGGTCAATAGTCCACAGTATTTAGTAATCTTTCCATATAACAAATCAACAAATATTGCTTGTTATTATCCTCATTTTATATGGGTAGCAAGTTTGGTGTTTGATTAACACCAAACTTGCCCTATATACATTGGTGTCCCTCCTTCCTCAAAGCGCTTGATCGTCTCAAGGCATCATTTATCGGGAAATGGATGAGCCTTTTTTCTTGGCACTGATGCATCCTCCTTTTTCATCAGCCATTATTAAGTATATTTCCCCTTCATAAACAGCTGTAATAGTCCACAACAAAGTACCTTGGGTCAATACTGGGCATAAAGTACAGTGGCACCTCGATTAACGAGCGGCTCTATCTACGAGCATTTTGAGTAACGAGTAAGCCACTCGCAGAACAAGCAATTGTTTGTGAAAGTAGCACTGGCCATATTTTGATGGACATTGAAGCTGGTTCACAGATCTAATCATTAAAACAGGGACTTGGTTGTCTGTTTGTAGTATTGGATGCCAGTAAGTTGGGAATCCCCTATATCCTTAAAATATAAGTGAGAAAGGTACAAGGGATAATAACAAGACAGCAAGTAATGAAACTATTAATGACTGATGTCAGACAAGCTGACATCAGTCAAAAGTCAAGATTGTTGACATGGAGAGCTGGTAGCTTCCGTGGTACTGCCACTTAATGGCTGTCGGCTGTAACTAGGGAAGGTATGACCTAATTACTGGGGGTGCAGTTAGCAACAGGGAGCCACCATTTGGCCCTTCAAGAAAGTGTAGAACACATCTATTGCATCACTGTTTATACTGTATTGTCCTACTTCAGTTTAATTGTGGTGTTATATTTATAATTGTTATTTTGTTTCAGACAATGCACCTGTAAGCAAAGGCTTGATGGGATGTATGTTTCTAACTTGTACTGCTCTGAACGTCCCACTATTGGCGCACCTCAGGAAATATCTCATATGCAAGCTTCCAGATGTCTTTTTAAAAGGGGAGGTGAGTAGGTAGGTTTTATGTATTAAATCTTTAATCTGTGAGAGAGAGATACTGTACTGTACTATATTGTATTCCAGAAAAACCTCGTGCAGACCTCCAAAATTTTGTTTCGTTTACTTCTGTCATGTGGAGTGCATGGTAAGGTCCAGGCTGCATTCATCTTACAAACTGTGCTGGAAGGCTACAGAAGGCTCTACTCCCTTAATGAAGGACCAAAACATCACCTGGTTTGGCCAAGGACTTATTTTTAATAATTAAAAAAGACTTGGGAGTGATCCTGGAATACCTCCAAGCAAACCACATAAAGTACATGGATGGAAAATGCTTATAAAATTGCTCATGACATACGGGAGACCAAAATAAAATGTATTGTATGTCAATTGTTTTGTATGAATGCCTCAAAAAACCAATTGACAAATAAAAAAAAGCTCAATGGCTCTCATACTTAAAAAATAAGAAGTATGACGAAAGGTTGGAGGTACTAAATGCACCAAAACTGGTAGACAAGAATTACTTAATTGCTAGTATTAAATTGTGAGTACTGTACTAAATTGTGAGGGCTTGTTGAAATAGATGAGGAATTTTTTTTTAAATCCTCCATATGTCCTCTCTTGACATATGTACAAAAGTTATGGAAGCAATTGTAACAAAACACTTATGGAAATTATCTAATACAAACAATCATGATAGACATAGAATAGAGTAATTGAAATGGTAGTATGTGGCAGCACCGTTGAAAGTTTCAAGAAATGTATATGACAAAAACTAGAGAAAATCTGATAACATGAGTGTAGCTTTCATCCTATAACTGCACTCGAGTAATTATTTATTACTCTATCTTGTTCATATCGTGAGATGTACTGGTCTGGTTATTCCTTTCTTGATAGGTTTCGGTCACAACACAGACGATTTTACATACGTTTATCATGAAGTTCATATAAGATTCATGAATTCATAATTTGATTATTTTGCCCTGAACACATGTGCCTCACATTCCAATGCAATATTTACTTACTGTATATTTATCCGTTTGCTGTAGCCCCCTCTGGCTGTGGTCGGTGTTGGAGGATATCATGTAAGCCAGTCAATATTTTCTTGTGTTCAATCTCACATCTGTTATTTCACATATACAAATATTAGGTTATAATAATTAAAAATATGTTCTGGAGGCTGCAACACCTGGTTTCCTTTAGGTTTGTTACACAATGCTATAAATAAATTTTTCTTTTTGTACTTTTAAAATAAATTTATAATATTCCTAGTACAAAATCATATGACAGTTTATACAGCTTTCTAAAACATAATTAAATGTATATGCACTAATTAAATTGTTACTCTTGTACATCAGCCAATTATTGGTTTGTTTCCAGGAAGATTTCATAAGTGTTTCGGTATCTTTTCGTGTGAATAGATAATAAGAGTACAGTATTTGGTCTACTAGTATGACACGGTTGATACTTGTCAATTCTAAAGTGGTATGGACTCCGTTGTAATTGGATTTAGATAAAAAAACTAAGATTTTCATAGAACTGTGTGTATTGGGAGATAATGTGGTAGGCAATGAGGATAATTATCTTGATTGTTCTTCAGTAAGTACTTAAATGTTGTGCTTTTGTGTCTCCTTAGTAAGTTTGGTACAGTGAAGAAAATTTTGTAAACTATTTTCTTCAGCTTAACCCCTGCACTGCACCAGCAGACATATTAAGGGGTGTGGTGGTGCGCCAGCCGACATGTGATGATGTTAGTACAATGGCCCCCTGTGTTTCCGGATTTAATTTGTTCCAAGAGACAGTTCGTACACCGAAAATAACAAAAATGAAACAAATTTTCCCATAAAAAATAATGTAAATTGAATTAGTCCATTACAAACATAAAAAAAAATTAACATAAAAATACATTTTATACAAAATACTACTCATAGATACCGATAAAGGATAAAGCTACCTTTATTGAGGACTCTTGTTGGCATATTGAAGATAGTGAGAAGGAGGGGAAGAGGAGGAGAGGTGTTAGTGTTTGGAAGAGGAGTCCCCTTCCGTTACAACATCAGGCAGTGATGACATTTCTGGGGTACTCTCTTGTACATTATGCAGGCATTCCACAAGGACCTGGTTGTGGCTCATTACTTGCTTGTCTTACTAAGAATCTGTCTAAAGACACTTGTGTTTCTCTATGTTTTAACACTTGTCTGTAGTGAGACATCACATTCATTCACTATGGATGATGTCTTGTTTTTTCTCTCATCCTCACAACTATTTTCTTAGGTTGAACTTTACCACTGACTTTCTTACGACCCATGATGTGATATATAATAAGCTGAACCCTCGCTCGATGTGTTCATGGATGCATTGTCTCGAGGCTGGAGCTTTGTGACCAGTGCTCAACAGGCCAGCCACAGACGGTGGGATCCGTCCTTCTGTCAGGTTCCCAGCACGGTGCGGGAGTTTGCGGCGGTCTGGCTTTCACTTTGGATGGTTCGGGTTGTTCGGGATGTGACTGTTTGGCTCCATTTGGACTGTTTCCCGGTGGTTCATTGTCTGAACCGCTGAGGTTCTCTTTGGTCCTTGCCTCTTTGGGGCTGGTCGATTCGATTGGCTCATCTGCTGGCTTCTCGGGGTTTGGCTCTCCGTGCAGTTCATATCCGGGGAGTGTCCAATGTCCCAGCCGACGGCCTGGGTGGACGTCTCATTTGCCCTGTTCTGTAAGCTTTCTCGTGCTTTGTTTCACCTCCGGCCAGCTCATGCGCCACCTGAGCCATCCTGGTCCTTGGACAGGGTGCTCTCCTATCTTTCCTCTCCACGGTTTGTGGTGGCCCCTTCAGTTCAGGACTGTTTTTCCAAGGTTCTGTTTTTGTAGGCATTGGCCTCTGAGGGTCGGGTCGTGGAGCTTCATGCTCTTCTCCGGCGTAGGGTTTCTGCTCTTTCGGTCCTGGTGGTAAGTTTGTTCGTTTGCAGCTGTCTCCTTTTTTTCTGGCGAAGAACAAAACAGCTGCTTTCTGGAGGAGTCCTTGGGTCATTGATGCTTGATTGGTCAGGCCGAGGGTGCATCATGCGTTGTCTGGTTGTGGCCACTACAGCAATACTTCAAGAGGTAGAGACTTTTTACTTGGATTTTCGTGCTTCCTGGGTGCCAATTAACAATCTCAAAAGAAAAAATACTGTTTTATAACAATTTATTTTTGATACACCACAGGAATGCTAATTTAAAAGGTGCGCATTGCAAGGGTTAATACTGAAGATACTTTTAAGTTTGAAATAATGTAGCTTAAGTTCCATTAATCTTATGATTTTTAGTTTTTGTTTTCTTTTACAGATATGGCGAATAGCATCTGCAAAAATATCTTTTGTTGATACAAAGGATCTTGTGTGTGGCTCGTTATTAATTTATTATTTCAGGTAAGAAATCACATGAAGTATTTTTTAATATTCCTTTATTTTGTTTAACTGCAAGGAATGGTTAAATTGGAGCCTTAGTCTTGAACCAACTTTAGGGAGTGCTTATACAGTTGTGTGAACTGTACATCCATTTTTTAAGCGTGCAGAAGCATTTTAATTTGCAAATTGTCTTTCTTATATGGAATTATGAATTAGATAAAGTGGCAAGAATGCAAAATAATGGTCTGATTATGAGTTGTATTAGAGGCAAGGAAGAGATTTAAATCAAGTAGTGAGAGAAATGACAATATGGCTGCATACATCATGAGTCATATCCTATATGATTCACCTAGGACTCATAGTGAGAGCTACGGTCATGGTCTCCTGTTATTTTGTATAATTGTCAAATAACACCTTGAAACTACTGATGGTTTGGCATCCACCACCTCCTCTCTTAAATTGTTTTAATTGTCTACAACTCTGTTCATAAGAGAGAACTTTCATATATTTTTTAGGCATATTTTTACCTTTGTTTGAATCAGTGGCATCAAAGCATCATAAGACAAAGATTATTACTTGTGTAAAGGAGGAAATGTATATGTTTATCTCTCAGAATGTTCAGTAATACGTTTATTGCTTGTGATGTGTGTCTATGTATGTATTAACACAATGTACTGAATGGGGTGAGAATAGCTTGAGCTACCTCATCCCTTTGTGTGTATTTTACCTCAATAAACTTATTTCAATTTCAATTTCAAGATTATAAGAAAGGCAGGACATCATGAGTATAGCTCTCCTCATGTAACTTGGATACTCTTGGATAACTACATTATTTTCACACCAACATATTTTAAACTGTATACATCATGATCTGCTCAGGCATTGTCCAGCATGGTCACATCTGTCAAAGGCTTCAGCGAAATCTGTGTAAATTACATCAGCATTTTGTTTGTCTTCCATGGCATCTAATTCCATGTCATAGTGGTCCAGCAACTGTGACAGGCAAGAGCGCCCTGTTATGAAACCATGTTGTCCGGGGGTTATGGAGATGCTGTGATTCCATTTATTTTGTGATCTTACTTCTTAGCACTCTCTCAAAGATTTTTACGATGTGTGATAATTCATCATTATTGGTGAAAATGAGGTCCAGCGTGTTCTCCTTCCTAGTTGGTTCTACTATTTGCTGGTTTAAAGCAAACCTGTCTCACATCCGTAGCAGGTCATTTGCATGTGCCTGTTCATTTAGGCTACTTCCAGGTATTTTTTCTGATATTACTATATTGGCCAGGTGCTTCCATTTCAGGTGCCGTAGGTTGAAGTCCCCAAGTAGGATGATGTTCGGGGCTGGATTTGTGAGGTTTTCCAAGCAGTGTTCTATTTTCATTAGTTGGTCTTTAAACGGCTGAGGGTTGATTATCAGCACTTCCACCATATCATTTGAGGTGTTTAGCAGCTCAGTACAGTTGAGTGTCTTTCATGCAGGTGTTGTTCCTGTGGCTAAGATCTATATGGCTGTTTCCTCACCCTGCATGTTGGTGGATTGCTTTGTACCCACCTCCCCATTGCCCCACACACAGGTGAGTGTGTCAAGTGCATTAGTTACACATTTCTCTAGGTTTTTCTTATCTCCAATGTTGACAGGGTTAGGTAGCTGCAGACGATGAATCACAAGAACGTGGCTGAATATATAATCAAACCACACACCAGAAGATGAAAAAAAGACGACATTTTGGTCCGTCCTGTACCATTATCAAGTCGTATGTCTTGATAATGGCCCATACGACTTGATAATGGTTCAGGATAGACCGAAATGTCGTAGTTTCTTCATGTTTTGGTATGTGTACTTTGGTCATCATATCTCATGGGAAGCTGAACATTCTTGCTTCGGAAACTAGGTTTCTTCCTCAAATCTTTGTTTAGGAGTGGAGGATCTGGCGACTTGTCCTTGGTCATTTGTTGACATTTGTTCTTGCCTCCATAGTGTTAGGCATTCTGACACAGCACTATGGGGTTTGGTATATCTTTACATAGTGTAGTATAGTGGAACTCTGTAATGAGTTTACGGACCCTGACGGACATCACTTCAGTCTCCTGCATTTCTCATTTGATTCAGAGTGGGTTTCACCATGACACGTAGGATGTATTGCGTGTTCCACTCTTTTCAGTCTTTCTTCTAAATGCAAATAATGTCATCATTAATTTCTGCCTGTTTTCCCACCAGGTTCCCCACACACCTTGCTACCCACATACCCACATGCCTGCTAGCCTGCCCACATACCCTCCTGCCACCAGCCTGCCCACATACCCTCCTGCCACCAGCCTGCCCACATACCCTCCTGCCACCAGCCTGCCCACATACCCTCCTGCCACCAGCCTGCCCACATACCCTCCTGCCACCAGCCTGCCCACATACCCTCCTGCCTCCAGCTTTCCTTCAGTGCCCTCCTATCCACCAGCTTGCCTGTATACCCTTCAATCCAGCAGCTTTCATGCATATCCTCATGCTGAATGGATTTCACCCATATCCTCCTGCCTACTAGTTTGCCTGCACAATACCTGCTCACCTGCTTGTCTACAATACCCATCTGCTCACCAGCTTGTCTACAATACCCACCTGCTCACCAGCTTGTCTACAATACCCACCTGCTCACCAGCTTGTCTACAATACCCACCTGCTCACCAGCTTGTCTACAATACCCACCTGCTCACCAGCTTGTCTACAATACCCACCTGCTCACCAGCTTGTCTACAATACCCACCTGCTCACCTGCTTGTCTACAATACCCACCTGCTCACTGGCTTTTCTACAATACCCTTCTATCTACCATCTTCCATGCCCACCCTCCTACCCACCAGATTCCACCAATACCCTTTTGCTGATCAGCTAGCCCACAAACCCCATTTCCCACCAGCTTCATGCCCTTCTGCCCTCTGGCTGGCCCACACCTGCTCCCAAGCTGCCCATAAACTTGCATACTCCCTTTATATGCAGAAGCCCACTGGCTTGCCCACACATCCTTCCTCCCTTTTCACCAGCTTATCCACATACCCATCCATATATTAAAAATCACATCAATAAACTAGAAAAGTTACCAAGACATGCTACTTAATGGCTCTTTGTAGAGGACACTGTCTTCACTTGCACACTTGCCGGTAGCTCACATATTTGTTGTCATATAATATGCACTTCTTTGTATTTATACTGTTTTAACACATTTCTAGTGTACAGTACTGTGTTTGTAATCTTAGAAGAAAATGTTTAATGAGTTTTCATTCCAGCACACTAATATGCAAACCGCCCCCTCACGAATTTTGATGTTACTGTACAAAACTTATATAGGTATTCTCATAAGTATTGAGCATGGAAGCTGCAAATGTCGTGGGCCTGGCATATTGTATTACAGTGCATATTAACAAATGTTTTCTGGCACATTGTAGGAAGTATGCTTTTTATTTATATGGTTATTTATTTTGCATGTTTATTTTTTGTTTACTTTATCGCAGAGTGTTTGAGCGTCGATATGGCTCCCACAAGTTTGCATCATGCCTGGTTGCCTCACAGGTCCTTACAACAGTGTTGGAGGTCTTGACCATACTAACTCTACAGTGGTTTTCAGTAGACCTGCACTCAGGCGGATATCTTCCCCCAGGACCGTGAGTCTTCCCTTCCTGGTAGTATTTTCCATGCGTGAGCTCGTGCTCCAAGCGCTCTAGCAGTTGTGATCGGGTGAACAAGAGTATGGAGAATGATGCATATTTGATTACCTAATGGGATGAAAATATAGGATTATGACTTCATGGAATTTTGGTTTTAAAACTTTGCAAATTTTGCTGTCAAGGGCATAAAAGTAGACTTGGGAGACAATTTTATGTGTATGGTAAACGAGTCTACGATGGCCCCGTGATGCTGTTTCGATGAGACCAAGTGACAGTAAATAGAAAAAAGTTTGAAAGGTGGAGAGGATGGAAAGGAGTAGCTGTTGGGATGAAAGATAAATGAAGGAAATTGTGTGAAGAGAAGTTTTCATCATGTTAGCAAAACCTCATACACAGTTTGTATTGTAGATAAGTAGGCTTGGTCAGATATTTTAGTCTGTTGGGTCTTAGTGAACACATTTTGAAATGGTAAAAGGGTTATCTGATTTAATTATTTCTAGTTGATGAGTCAGTTCCATAAAGTCAATCAGCTTAGTTTGCATCGCTGGTCTGCATAAAGAGTTTTTCTGCGGGAGCCTCGTTGGCTCCCTGAAGCTATCCAAACTGACATGTGCCATATTAGTTTGGTGTCATCAGTCCCGGGAGTTCAGTATGCCTACTGGACACCAGAGCCAGAACCTGGTCCACTCAGAGAGGTGCAGGGAGCAATAGCCATTATGAGCACCCTACATTTAGAGTTTGTCACGTCTAGCAAACAATACTGCAACCTACGTCCAAACAGAGCCAAGGAACTCCCCCCAAAAGAAAACAACAGAACAAGCAAATCGTCTTTCAACTGGTGCACCCGCTCAGACGAGCCGGCTGCTCCATTCTCAGTTCATTGACTGATGTGCCAGTGTTGACAAGTCTTTTCTGGCCTCGATTTATTGACTTGCTTTGGCATTTGTGGCTTTGCCAGCTTTGTGTGGTGTGGTGGCCAGGTGTTCTTTGGTACACTGGGCTGCATGTGCCTAGAGCTATCTTCCCTAGGTGCTTGGTAAGTACTTCCCTTGCATTTCAGTGTTCTCATCCCTGGGGCGTTCAGGGTCTCACTCACGTTTGAGAGCTTCGTTGCTTGGCGTTGTTCTCACCCTTTGGGTACGTTGGAGGTCTTGGGCTTCCCGTCTTGTCTTGGGTAGGGAGTGGGTTTTTGCTGGGTGGGACGCACTGTGGCTGACGCAGTCTGCATATATAGCGGCAGCCAACGATTCTCTCTGGCAACCAGTTGGTGTTTGTGTTGCTTCTGGGGCTTTTGTTTTGATTTGTTTTGGGCGTATTCACTTATTTTTGGCGGAGGAGGTCTGCCTAGCTTCCCATTAGGCCAGCCTAGGATGTGTTGGTGGTCCTTCTCTGTTGCCCCAACGTGTCATGGCACCTTCCAGTTCTCAGTTTGCTTGCAACAGACAGGAGTTACCGGCTTAGCTAGCCCCAGTGCCTGGGCTTCCTATGGGGCTAACGTACCCTATGGGTACGTTAGCGTACCCATATGGATACGTTAACGTACCCTATGGGTACGTTAGCCAATGTTTGTTGTGATTGCCTTGCGGTGACGATCACTCAACCTGCCTCCATCATGCTGTCTGTTGGGTCGATGACACCTACAACCCTGAGTCTTGCAGGACTTGTTCTTCGCTTGTTATTCTGTTACCCATTCCTTGTCTGAGGATGTAAGGGGTCAGATAGCGGCTTCGTTGTGTGCTCGTTTTTTTTTTTTTGTTGAACGAGCCAGGTTGGTTGGCTGGTTGGAAGCCCCAGAGCTGCCCCTCTGGAGTTTAGGGACCAGGTTTTAGAGACGTTGGTTATTTCAACCGTGGTTTAGTCTGCACCCTTGCCCCCTTCCCAGGCTGGTGTGGTTCGCCCTGCTCCTCTTTCCATGCTTCCGGCTCCCAAACGTCTGAGGGCTTAGGGGTCGGAGCAGGACTTTCGTTTGGGATGAGGCTCCCCGGAAGCCCCGAGACTGCCCCATTTTGATTGTTGTGACGGGGCTTGGGAGTGTTGGTCGCTTTGGTTTTGTTTCCGTCCGTGCCCCCCTTGTCTTTTCTCATTCTCTCCTACACATTGTTGTTTTAGTATGTGCTTCTTGGCTTTACTAATGCCAGGTTGGACTTTGTCCATGCTCAGTTCCCTGCTTTTGCACCGCCCCTGTGTTTGGTTCTGGTCCTGAGTTTTCATCTTCTTCTTGTTTGGCATTTCCAGCTTCTGGGTTGCCCTGTATGCTGGTGATTGTAGCTTCCGTTCTTCCTCTAATGCCCCTGCAGTGTCTTTTCGTTGGGCCGGGAGGTGCTAGGTTTCAGGCCCTGGCTCCGGCCTTTGTCTTTGTGTTCCTTTTCTGGCGGTGCGTTTTTGTTTTTGTGCTGTTCACGTCCTGGTTTGTTCTCCTCATACCTTCCTCGATATTGCGTGCTTTGTTCTGTCGTGCTGGGGCTGCGTTCGCTGCTCTTGCGGGTTGCGGTGTCCCTGCTTTTCGCTTTGTGTTTCGGTTCGCAGTGCTTGCTTTCTCGTTGGCCTGGGCCCTGGCTTTTCGTTTTTCATCTCAATTTTGTCCTTGCTATTTGTGGCGTCTGCACTAAGGCGTTTTTTTCTGCTGGCGGCTTCTGGTTGTCATCCGTTGTCGGACTTGTTGGTCCTTCAGGGGTCCGGGGGTGGGGGGGGGGGGGGGGCGGGGGGGTTCTCCCGGCGGGGTGTTTCTGCTCGCCTGGGTTGGTTCTTTCCCGGCTTGTCGGGTTTGGGTTCCTGGTTTCCTGGCTTTGCTGCCCTGCCAGTTGGCATTTTCACGATCTTGTAGTGTCACTTCTCATGAGCCTCGCATCGGAACCAGTGTTTCCGATCTCCTGGCGAGCTCGCTAGCATTGGGAAGTTTTCTGTATGGCAGACGTTCCATCTGGTTCCTTGCCGGCTTGGGTTTCCGGCTCTGCTTGCTCGGTGATCACACCCAAGGTTTTCCATGACTGGGGTCACGCTGTGGGTTGTTCCGGGTTCCCTTCTTCCCTGTTCCAGGGTGCGGTTCTCTTGGTTCGTCCGCGGGGTGGTTTGGTCCTGCCAGCCTGCTGTCTCTCCACATGCCCACGTCGCTCGTAGTTTGGCTGCGCGTTCCTTCGTTGATGTTCCTGGGCCTTGTCGGGCCTGTGTGGCCTTGGGTTGGCAGTTGCAGTCTTTTGTTTCCGCTTCACGTTGAGGAGTGCGCGACCTACGCCTCCCGTGTTAGGCCCCTCTTGTTTTCGTCTTTGGGTAGGTAACTCCTGGGAGGCAATGGGGCTTCCCCCAGAAAACTAGCGTTGAATGTATTGAAATGCTGCCCTTTCAGTTGTTTTTGCTAATATGTCGTGGGCCGATATTTTGGCGCAGGGGTTCTGTAGGTCAGTGTTTTTGCAGCCCAGTATCAGTCAATGTTCCCTGCCCTTAGTGGCCTTGTGTTGGCTCTCACACACGACTGCCTGTTCTTCATTCTGATTTCTGCAGTGCTCCTTGGCAAGTGCCCATTTGTTTCCCTCTCCATGGGTATTTAGATTCAAGGAGCCACAAGGGGGCTTCCCCAGAAGACAAGCGTTGAATGTAATGAAACGCCAATTTCTAGGCGAGTCTTGGAGGCTCCCTGACACCCTCCGGGTCATCGGGGGGTTTGCATCATCATCGAACTTAGAGTGGAACAGCTGGTTGATCCCTGGCTGCCTCCTTCCTCTCCCCTAAACAAGAGGGAAGGTGGAAGGTTGCACAAATGTGTTGGCTTTCTTTTCAGGAAGTTTTTATAGTTTACATTGTTGAGGGAGTTCTTTTGGCAATTCTTAATGCTGCTGTCTTGCTTATAATCAGCACGGGTCAGTTTTGTTTCACTGAATTTCTGGATGCTCCCTTGGTGGTAGCAGACTTCAATAAATTTATACATATCTCATTATAAGTGGCACCACTCCCTGCATCCATCTGAGGGGTCCAGGCCCGGTAGGGGGTGCTCATGGTCCCTGGTAGGCCAAATAGAATGGCACAACTGATGGCACCTAATAGTTTGTCACTATCAGTATAGTAGCTTCAGAGCTCACCCAGAAATTGGATTTTCATTACATTCAACACTGGATTTTTCTTTACAAATTTTATTGTAATAATAATCAAAATTTATCAAAGATTGCTTTTTTTATAAATTTTGCAAACATTAATGAATCTAAGTACTGTAACTAATATTTATATCATCAGTTTCATATACTTTCATGTTCTGAACTGCTTAGTAAGAGACAGATGTGTACAACTGTGTATTTTGTGCATTCAAACGTTATACAAATTTGCCAGCTCTTAAAATTTGTGTAAATGATGACAAGTTTTCTCAACAGTATGGTAATTTTTGCCTTTTTTTCAGATACGGTGTTATATTTCCATTGTTTGTAAACTATCTGTTTGATATTCCACGCGTAGCCCAAACCAGTGTGTTAGGTATCCCAATCACTGGGAAAACTCTGACATATTTATTGGGATTGCAAGTCTGTTCCACATCAGCTGCAACAGCAATATCAGCTTTTTCAGGCATTGTAAGTGATTTTGTTCTTTATTAATCATATGCATATTTGTCTCTTTGATAATGGGCTTAAATCATTCTTTATGATGAACAATTTGTGAAATATAATTACTTCATGGTCATCAGCGAGCTGCTAGTGATGTTTGTTTTATTTTTCTGGGAGGAGCCCCATCGACTTCCCGGAGCTATCCAGGCTGAATGGATACTGTATGTATATTTTTCTGGCATCAGTTAATGCATGGAGTTCTTGCCTAACGGGGACCACGAGCCAGAACCTGGCCCCCTCTAGAAAGGCACGAGGAGCAATGGCCTATAGAGATCCCACCCTGTGGTTGGGAGCATTCTATGTCTGCCATTGACAGGGACAGGCTCCCAGAAAGGTAGGCACTCCAAAACAAACCCCTATTCTGGTAAAAGTATTGCGACCGAAAGCCGAACAGGTGGACAGAACTCCCCAAATGAAAATTAGCAAACTAGCATGACGCCATCATGTCGCTGCACCGCTGCACAAACCCCCCCCCCCCACTCCTCTACGGGAGGGGGAAGGGGGAGCCCCAGACCCATCCATCGGCGACCCATCCTTCAGTTCTTAGGCTGGATGTCGAACAGCACGAAAACCCCGCCGACCGGAGGGAGGGATGCCGGGGAGCTACATTTCTGGGTGCCTGTCCCGGTCGATGGCAGACATAGAATGCTCCCAACCACAGGGGAGGGGGAACTCTATAGGCCATTGTTCCTTGTGCCTCTCTAGAGGTGGCCAGATTCTGGCTCGTGGTCCCCGGTAGGCAAGAACTCCATGTATTGACTGATGCCAGAAAGATATACATATCCATTCAGCCTGGATAGCTTCGGGAAACCTCCGGGACTCGCCCAGAAAATGGCGTTTCATTACATTCAACGCTTGTTTTTTTTAACTTGCTTTTAGTGACTGTAAAATATCTATACAGTATCTCTGCTTGGGAGTGAGAGAGGAATGGGGTTATCTGGTGTGTGCAGAAAATGGAGGTTAAGAGAAGCTTCTAAGTTGGAGATGGGGCAGTAAATGGGGGTAGAGGGTGGAAATATAGAAGGGGTGGCAGGATGGAGCTTGCCCAGTAGGAATACTGATGTGGATAGTAAAAACAATGTTGGGGGTAAGATGATGGACTCTACCCATTGGCTCCCTTTCCATTCCTTTCCAGCCTTCTTTGTTATGTTTAGGTATGCTCAGGTTCTTGGTCAGTGATGCACAAGGTGAGTTCTATTGGGGAAAAGCTTGTGGATCAGTTATTTGTATTTAGACAGGTAGTAGGCACAGCATGCAAGAATGATACATAGTAAGATCTTCATATTCTTAATGAACTTGGAGATAGCACATGACAAAGCCATCCACGGACGAATAGCACATTGACACTGCGAGAAGGTTCGAGCTACTCACAAGGCTTGGTGAGTAATTGACTGTGGCTTTTGAAGCTCCCTATTCATACAAAAGGAGAGGAGTCAGGTCAATATATCCTTAGTGGCTTCATGTCTGTCCATTTGTTTGGTATGCATAACAACCTGTATGGTCTAGTTCTCTTCATTTGTAAGTTGAGTCTACTCAAGGGCTCCTGGGGACAACACATTTCGGGGAAAATAGAGGCAAGATGGAAAATTTGTGTTGCCAAGCCGAATCAGATGGCTGGTTATTTTTGTCTGGTCTTGTCTAAATAATTAGTGTTAGACAATTTACATCCTTACTAGTCCATGGGGTGCTATGAGGCTCTCCAATGGCTACTTGCATATACTGTACTTTGTTATTTCGGGAGTGCCTGTACCTTCCCTTGTTGGACTCGGACCAGTGGGGATGTGGACAATTATGGTTTATTTCTATTCATGGTAGATGTTACTTCTCATGCAAAAACAATAACAAAAACTGCATCCAACAATAGGCCCTTGTGCAAGGGTGTTGCAACTTTAACAGATGTCAACAAAGAAATGAGTGAGATACTGAGGTTTCACTACAATTCTGTTCTCAGTGAACCACTGAAAACATTAAAGATCGATGATTCAAATGAATTCTTCGTGAATGTGACACCAACATCGAACCACATATCAGATGTCACCCTAACCCCACTGGATTTTGAAGTAGCCATAGACAGCATGCCCGTGCACTCTGCACTAGGCTCAGACTCGTGGAGTTTTATATTCATCAAAAAGTGCAAAACATCGCCATCACAGGCCTTATACATCTTATGGAGATGGAGTCTAGATACTGGCATACTTAAAACAGCGGAGATCATGCCACTTCACAAAGGAGGTAATAAAGCAGATGCAACAAATTTTAGACCAATAGCTCTAACCTCATACATCATAAAAATCTTTCAAAGAGTACTTGGAAGTAAGATTACAAAGCACATGGAATCAGAACATCTACATAACCCTGGACAACACGGGTTCAGAACAAAGTGCTCCTTCCTCTCACAGTTGCTAGATCTCTATGACATAGTCCTAGGTGCCATGGAAGACAAGCAAAATGCAGATGTAATACCTGTATAAATAGAATTTGCAAAAGCTTTCAACAAATATGACAAGGGTGTTATTGTGCACAAAATGCGTGCAAACGGAATTGCGTAGGGAGACAGATCTTCAACTTCCTAATGAACAGAACTCAGTGTGTTATAGTCAACTCGGTAAAATCCGGATCATCTACTGTGAAAAGTTCAGTCTCCCAAAGTACCATACTTGCTCTGGTACTTTTTCTCATCCTAATATCAGATATAGGCAAGGATGGCCCACAAATCTTTTCTCTCAACTGCTCCTGTTGAATTTTCTCTTCCTGACGTGAGTGTGTGGGGTCAGACACCAACCTTGGTTCACCTGTCACCGGGTCCTCATGTAGGACAAACAAACCTCTTCTAGTGGATACCAGGGCCATTCGCCTTCACTAGCTTCTGAATTTCGCTCCTTGCTCCAATGACTCGTGGCTGACACTGCAACTGCCCTGCTTCCAATAGACAGAACATGTCTCTGTCACAGTTCATGGTACTTCCTTCACCCAGACACTAGAACTGTGCCTTTCTCTAAGTAGCAACGAATTGCTTGTGACCTTTTTGACCCCACACTTGCAAGTGACTTCCTCACTAATCACAGAGCCTTTGCACATGACATGTCATATCCTTCCTCCTACCTCATTTTTCAGTGAATACATCATCAAGCGCCTTCCTCCTTGGGGAATTCCTATGTCGTCACCATCTTTTCCTGTTCTTCTAGAGTTACTTAGTGACACAAAAATTCCTCAATCAATGCCTCTTTTGTCTCATACAATGCAGTTTACTGTGCAAGCAATACTAGATGTCCTGTTTTAGTCAACTGGTATGCTTGGGTGAAGAAGAATAACTCTCATCCTAGGAAGAACTTAGGTCATGAGGCTATTAGGGGTTCACAACAATCATTAAATATATATATGACTGCATCTTGTGAGCAGAAGCCAAAGAGAGTTCTTGGATCATAGTCTGCATGCTATGTCTCTTTACCAGAAGCAAGTATTTGAGGGAAAGAAAATAGCAACAGTAACATGAGCTGCTGTATCATGTGACCCATATGTCTATCTGAACTTGTATAGGGTATCTTTTTTTTGTGAACTAATGAGGCATTCTGAGGAACAAATTGAAGATGAGTAAGAGAGCCAATTTTTTTGGACTTGGAAGAATGTAGGGCAGATACCCACATGACCACTCTTTATAGCCTTCACTTACTCCAATCTGTCCTAGTTCCTAGATTCAGCATGGTATGGGTTCTGTTAGAACCATACTTCACTGTACACATGCTATTACTGACTGGCATTTGGCCATATCACTTCTCTGTCGGCCAACATAGAGGGTGAGCAGGCAGTCCGTGCCACGTGTAGCCATTCGTCATATAAAAGGCCGGACTGTGTTGATCCCGTGTTCTGTTTTTATTGCAGATCCAAACGTCGTACGCCACATTCTCGAGATTGTGAACGGTACCGATATGAAAGAAAATTCTTAACAATTAGGGCAGTTGAAGGGATATGCTTTGCTGAGGCTAGAAGTAAGGCACTTGCTCTACAACATGGGGAACACTGTGCTTTGGTCTTAGTTCGCCGTGCTGCCTCTTGTGCAATACCAAACGGTACAGTACTTCATATACAGGCTCCTTTTTTTTTATTTTTTTTTGCACGGTGTTGGAAAACACAAAATTCTTTATACATAGGTGGAAACTTTTATATCAAGCTCTGAACTGCACGGGTGAATTTTGGCATTACATAGGTTTAGGGCAGATTATTAGATGCTGTGTGGAGCTTCCACATTCTCAGCAGTATGTTGGGCTCTCTCTCTTACACAACATATTTCTTGTGTTTTATGAACTTTTTTGGGGAAGCCCCTTCGGCTTCCCGGAGCTATCCGGGCTGATATGTATATCATTAGACTTTGGCATCAGTCAGTGTGAATAGAGTTCTAGGCCTACCGGGGGACCACGAACCAGAACCTGGCCACCTCAGAGAGGCACGAGGAGCAATGGCCTTTAGAAATGCACAAGGGATTTGGAGCATTTAATGTCTGCCATCGACCGGGCCAGGCACCCAGAAAGATAAGCGCCACAAAACAAACCCCTATTCTGGTTAAAACGACTAAAATAGACAAACGAGTAGACAGAACTCCCCAAATGAAAACGAGCAAACGAGCATGACGTCACACGAACTGTGCCGCATGTCTGCGTAGCTCCCCTCTCTCCAGGAGGGGAAAAAGGGAGCCTCAGATCCACCGCGCTGGCGATCCACCCTCCAGTTCTCGGTTGTGATTGTGGCATGGTCGCATGGCTCCAGCTCCAGATTCTCTCTGTGTTGTGCTGTGCCTTGGATTCAGTACTGCTCTTATGGTGGCGTGCGAGCTGGGAGAAATATTCACAGCTACTCAGGTGCTGGTTTCAGGTGCTGCTTGCTCGGTGTCCGAACCCAGAGGTTTTCCCGCAGCTCCGCCTTTTTCAGCAGATTGGTCCGGTCCACTACGAGACTGGTTCAATCTTCTTCTCGAGTCTTCGCATTTGGTCTTTCTGACTCGAGTCTGTCACCATCTGTATGGTGATCAGGTGGCTTCTTTGATGGTGTCCCAATTGCGGGGTTTGTCTCGGTGGCAGTATGAAGTTTCCTGGTGGTCCTTCTGGTTCTTTTTGTCTCTCTGTTGCTGTACTTTGCTTTCAGTTAAGGTTGTTTTATCCTATTTCTCATGGCTGTTTCAGGATCGTCATCTTATGCCAAATACTGTCGCCTCGTGTCATGCAGCATTGGCAAAGCCGCTGCAGCTTGCTTTCAGTATTGATGTTACTTCTGCACCGTTTCGCCTCCGGCCTGCTCATGTGCCACCAGAGCCATCCCGGTCTCTGGACAGAGTGCTTGCTTATTTGCCTTTTCCTCGGTTTGTTGTGGCCCCTTCAGTTCAGGATTGTTTCTCCAAGGCTCTTTTCTTGTTGGCATTTGCCTCTTGAGGTCGAGTTGGGGAGCTTCATGCTCTCCTCCGGCGTAGGGGTTTCTGCTCTCTTGGTCGTAGTGATAGGTTTGTTCATTTGCTGCCGTCTACTTCTTTTCTGGCAGAGAATGAGACTGCTGCTTTCCGGAGGGGTCCTTGGGTTGTTGATGCTTAGTTGGTCAGGCCAGGGGTGCATCTTGTGTGTGTGCATTTGTGTCTGGTTGCAGCTCTCCTCTTTTATTTGCGCGCCATGGCTTCAGTGACTGGAGATGCGCTTTGGGTTGATCTGGTTTCTCTTCTTCCTGTTGTAGGGTTCGGGTCTCTCAGGTTGTCCGCAGGGTTATTCAATCTAGCCAGCCTGCGGTTTATCCCCGTGCCCTTGACGTTCATAAGTTTGCTGCGTTGGCTGCTGTCTTCAGTAACATGGCCTGGGCTGACATTTGGGCACAGGATTTTTGGCAGTCGAACAGGATCCTGGCTGCACGCTACCTCGTTAATGTTCCTGGACCTAGTTGGGCCTGTGTCACTTTGGGTCAGCGATTGCAGTCTGTTGTCTCGACTTCAAGTTGAGGTGTGAGCACTGACCGCCTCCCGGGTAAGTTCCTCTAGTTTTTGTCTTTGGTGATGTAGCTCTGGGGAGCCAAAGAGGCTGCCCCCAGAAAACCAGTGTTGAACGTAATGAAATGCCATTTTCTGGGTGAAACCCGGAGGCTCCCCGGCAATCCCCCCTTCCCCCCTGGTCTGCAGATTTTTCGCGTGTTTTGACATTCCAGTCTCGAACTGAAGGGTGGATCGCCGGAGTGGTGGGTCTGGGGCTCCCCCTTCCCCCTCCCAGGGAGGGGATGGGGAGCTGCGTAGACATGCCGTGCGGCTCGTGTGACGTCATGCTCGTTTGCTCATTTTCATTTGGGGAGTTCTGTCCACTCGTTTGTCTATTTTAGCCATTTTAATCAGAATAGGGGTTTGTTTTGAGGCGCTTACCTTTCTGGATGCCTGGCCCGGTCGATGTCAGACATAGAAGGCTCCAAATCCCATGTGCATTTCTATAGGCCATTGCTCCTCGTGCCTCTCTGAAGGAGCCAGGTTCTGGCTCGTGGTCCCTGGTAGGCCTAGAACTCCATTCACACTGACTGATGCCAAAGTCTAATGATATACACATCAGCCCGGATAGCTCCGGGAAGCCTCCGGGTTTCACCCAGAAAATGGGGTTTTATTACATTCAATGCTGGTTTATTCTTGCATCATTGCACATGCTAAGCATTCTGGACTATTATGCAGTGTTTGTGGCTGGAAAATGGAAGGATTATTTAAATGTTAATGTCTAAGTAGGTATTTTATTGAATGAAGAGTGGAACATGACCCTATTTTATTTTCCACATACTGTACTTTTAAGTTTCATTTGCATGGTTTTGCTTTTCACGGGTTTAACAGGAACGTAAACTTTGTGCAAATTGAGGGCTGCCCATATAAGTATGTGCATACATAGACAATGTAGTATCCAGATTTTACTTGGTTGTACGTTATCGGATGTGCTTGACATTATGCTCTCTGAGTATATGCAGAAAAAATGGAAAATGCTAGCTATATTGTACCACCTCAGTCTCATGAAGCCCAATGTGATGCTGTAATTATCATCACCATCATCACTAAATTATTTTATATTGGCCTTTGTAACCTGATCTTTATTTTTGCTACATTTCAGATAGCAGGAATTTTCTATCGCTACAACATACTATATATACAGCAAGTGCCATGGGTGCCAGGGTGGCTAGCTCGTGGCGCAAGTGCAACTCTTGCTCGTCTCTTAGCGTCCTCTCCTCCACCTGAGGCTCCAGCTGGTGCTACGTTAGAGTTACAGCGGCAAGAGCAAATTGAGATGTGGGAGCAACAGATGATGATGAACAGAGCAAGAGAAATGAGGAATAGACCAGGGGTGAGTAATTTTGCTTTTTAGCCTTTGGAAGGTAGGTTTAGCTCATTCCTGCACAAACTCCACACTGTTATTTTGATTGGCAAGAGTTATTGATAGGTTGATAAGGGGAGGCTGTAAAGCTTACCAGGACCCTATAAGTCAACTACTGACCTTCCATAAGATGCCCACAAGTTACCCAAGTCAGTTGCAAAGGTACCCGTCATTATGAGAATAACGGTTGTGAGTGCCTAGTGATGCTGCCCAGCCCACAATTACTCTGGCTAAGAGAGTATTTGTGGTTCCAGCTTGGAAAGGAATGATTCACATGTTCACCACATATTGTGCTGTTATTTTTATAACACTGCGTATGTTATCCATATTTTATGTTCCAATGTATATACAGTATATGATTCTAGTTCACTATATTAAGTGTTAGTGCATAACTTAGAAAATAGGTTATCTAATATGCACTTATTATCTATTCCAGGCTAATGGTGCTGTACATCCTTTCATGCAAAACTTCCTTGGTAGAAGACAAAACAATCCAGGTGGGTTATACCTCCATCATCCTTATGTGATAAAAAAGACAAATAAAAAACAGACCCAGGGCTATTCTATAAATTTATTAAAAGCAAGTTCCAGGTAAAGAATGTATAGACGTTGAAAATGAGAAACAGATTCACAGGTAATGGTAATGAAATGTGTGAAACACTAAATGAGCAGTTCCAAAGTGTGTTTGTACAAAATGAAGTTTTCAAAGAACCAGAGACAATATGAATTTCAGAGAATAACATTGAGTACATAGAGGCATGCCAAGATGAAGTTGAAAAACTCCTCAAGGAGCTATGTGGCTACCTTGTGGAAGTTCTGGGGATCAACATCCCTGCGGCCCAGTCTTCGACCTGGCCTCTCATTTGGTTGTCTTGTCAACCAGGCTGCTGGATGTGGCTGCTTGCAGCTTGACATATGAATCACAGCCTGGTTGATCAGGTATCATGTGGAGCTGATATTTTTCACGTGTAGATTATTACAGTATGTACAGTGGAACCTCGTTGTATGAATTTAATCCGTTCCAAGAAATGTATCATCACCTGAATATTCATTCTCTGAATTGAATTTTCCCATAAGAAATAGTGTAAATTTAATTGATCCATTCCACACATCCAAAAATATTAACTTAAAAATAGATTTTATACAGAATATTACACATATTTGTTCATACACAAAACAGTAAAGAATATATATATATAAACTGTAAATAAAATAAATGTACATTTAAATGCACCTTTACTGAGGACTCTTGTTGGTGTGGGAAGTTGGTGAGGAGGGAGGAGAGGTGTTAGTGTTTGGAAGGAAAGTTCCCTTCCTTTATAACATCAGGCCTTGAGAACTTGGCTTCGGTCTTGCGCTTCTTTTCCCTGCTGGAGCTGTTTTCGGACTGGCTTGAGGAGGATGTGGAGGAGCTGGGTTCCGGGCCAGCGTCCAGTGCGCTAGCCTCGGCAGCTCAGGTGTCAGCTGCCTTGTTGAAGTTGTTTGCGTCGATTCTGAAGGAAGCGGTGTCTCTGTTCTTTGCTGCTCACCTCGTGTGCCAACAGGCAGTGCACATCCACTCCTTGGAATCTGCTTGGGCTCTGGCTCTTAGATTTTTGTCTCCTTTTTGTCCATTTTTGTTTGCAGAGTCTACAGTGGTGCACTTTCTGCAGGCAGCTTTATAAAGCCGAAGGCTCTAAGGAAGGTAACCCTAGAACAGAAGGGTAGTACTTACAGGACATTTAGGGAAGATAGCCCTAAGTGCATGCAGCCCCAGTACAATGAAGTTTCTCCTGGCCACCGCACCACACAGAGCAGGAAACACTACTAAGATACAAATCTGCCAAGAAATCGGGGCCAGAGTTGATGACCGCAACAGAGAGCATCGTCCTATGAACTGGAGGTGTGAGTAGCCGGCCTGGGGGGTCCAGGGCTACCCTGGACGTTTGTCCACACAGGGCTATGCAGACAAGCGGCGCGGCGGCGGTGAATGATGTTTGCTTGTTTCTTCATGTTTTAGGGGAATTCCGTCTTTCTGTTTGGTCTTCGGTTGCAATTTCTTACCAGGTGGGGTTTGTTTTGTTATGCCTACCTTTCTGGCTGCCTAACCCCAGTCAATGGCAGACAAGGAATGATACCAGCACATGGGGATTTCCATAGGCGCCATTGCTCCCTGTGCCTCTCTGAGGGGGGGGGCCAGGTTCTGGCTCGTGGTCTCCGGTAGGCTGAACTCCAATTGACTAACGCCCCAGACTATTATAGCATATATCAGTCCGATAGCTCCAGGGAGCTGGAAGAGCTTCCCGCAGAAAACTATCCAATTTTATAGTAAAACAAAAAAGTTAGGGTTGGTATCTTGAAATACAGTAGTAATACAGTAGTGTGTGATATGTAATGTGGATCCTTCTCTCCCCTCCATTGTTATAATATTGCATTGGTATCTAGTGTTGCATATATTGTGCTAGTCATATCTTGGACCCATATATAATCTCGCACCATTATATTATACATCTCAAAATTTGCTGTGTGGATAATTTTCCTAACTACCTTTCACTAATGGACCTAATTATACATTTTGTGTATTAAATTTTTGTCTATAATTATAGGTCATCCTCCAGCACCCCCGACAGAAGAGCAGGTTCAGACGTTGGTGGAGATGGGATTTGATCGGCAGAGAGTGATAAACGCACTTCAGACATGCAATAATGATGTAAACACAGCCACACACCTGCTTCTACAAGAGACATGATAAATGTCATCTTGTAGTACTAGTTATCGGTAAATGTGATAGGGTCCATAATAAAGGCAAGTGTGCATTTATATACAGTCCTAACAAATTCCACAGCAATCAAAGAACTGATTAACTCTAGTCTTAATTATACAGGATATAATATTTTGGACATTTATAAAGTATTTAAAGATTATCCTTGTATACAAGTGTTTGGTGATACCGAATGTAGTCACGGATGATCAGGGTTAGGGTTGGTCGTTGTCCAGTTAATAACAAAGATATTGCTGTTCGACTTTTATAATGTTATAATAGCCATTGAGAGGTCTATACAATTTTAATATTTGAAAAGTAATTACAGTATTGATGTGTATAACTGTATTGAAAATTTCAGTGTAATGTAATCTCTCTCTGTAAATTATTGAACTGGAAATTATGATGCTCATAATTGTCCATTAATGGATATAGTTATGCTAGTCAGAGCATTGTTTGCAGTATAGTGTTGGGGATAGCAGTGGAAAATCAGATTGAGTATTTAGCAGTTTATACAGCAGTTCTATAAATGATGCAATTTAGAGGGGTATCCCATTTTTTCTATTTGATGGGGAAGACACATTAAAGAGGGCTTATTATCAGCAGAGTATATGTACATTTCTGGCCTTGTATACAACCAAACATACGTATTCATATTTAGTGCTTTTTCAAAATTACATGTCCTGTTTATGCAAATTTTATTTTTATCAGTATGAAAATACTGCAAGAAATTTTTGTGATGTCCAGAATATAACTTTTTGTTCACGAATGATATTTACCTACATAAAGTCATTGAGCATATGTTCGCTGCAGCTCTTCCTTGTATACTGTGGTATTATTATTGATCCTTTGGAGGTTGAAACTATGTTAATGTTAAGGGCATGACTAAAAGCAATATTAACTTGCCAAATACTCTCAAGCACAAGGTATTCTAAGTCCCCATATCTAACATTACGTTGTATCTGACGGCATTTGCTAGTACAGTAACTTCATTACCAATAAATATTCGTATACAGAATGAGCACACTCAATCAAAATGTGTGCTACATACATGCAGATAACAAGGTTATTTGGTTAAGGCAAGTCATGTTTTCTATGCCCATTGTGGACAGTAGGTAGAAAAAAATATTTTGACTTTGTAGAGATGATTGGAACAGTAACTTGAGGACCCCTTTCAGACACTCGCTCTCCATCTCAGACATCTCGTCTCTCTTCCTCCCACACATCTCGTGTTTTTTCCTCCCATACATCACATCTCTTCCTCCCATGCATCACATCTCTCTACCTCCTGCACATCACATCTCTTCCTGCCACACATCTCATCTCTCTTCCTCCCACGCATCACATCTCCCTTCCTCCCACACATCTCGTCTCCCTTCCTCCCACGCATCACATCTCTCTCCCTCCCAGACATCTTCCTCTCCCTCCCAGACTGCACCCCTCTCTCCTTTCCAGACAGCTCTCCCTTTCCAAAATATCACCTATGTCCATCTCAGACCACCAACAAGCTGTTGTTCTATCTAAACTAATTTTCTATAACTTTTATGGACTATCGAGTTTATTTAATTGTATTTCTCGTTTGTGCCGGGATTACTTGTATACTTTCAACAGGTTCATTTGGTTTGAACACTGATTGTAATGATAATGTTGTCATCCACGACAGCATATGCCAAGTAAGTTGTGCACTCTGTGACGAGGCAAGGACTCCTCCCTCCGCACTCTGCCGTCACTCTTACAGACTGTGAGAGTGTCTCTCTCACACTCTCACTCACTCTATTTTATAGTTGAATACAATGAACAGCAGCCGCATATTGCTGTTCAGATCTGATGTATATTATATATTTTGTTTGTCTTTCCTGGGAGAAAATGAAGGCTCTAACAGTTGTGCAAGGTGAGGCTCTTCTTTCTGAGGGTTAGAGAACATTACATCTTCATTCACTACAGAGTTAAGTGCATGATCAGGGCTGTGTAATACACTAGATACATTTATGTACACAAAATTGTTGCCATTAATGTATGTAATATAATGTACAATATTACTGAAAATAATGCTATTGTATTATTATTGTATTTAGTTTTCATGGGTGTAATAATGTGATACTCAATAATAGGTTTAGTTCTGTTTCCTCTTCAGTACACTACCTCATTTTCTATATTTGTGTGAGAAAACTGTGCTTTGTTGAAGGTAAACATGTAAGTTTCAAGTACTGTATGTTTATTTTTATTTTCCAATAAAACCACAATTGAAAAGACGGTTGAAGTTCATATAATTCATTACGATAGAAAGCCAGTTGAGTCTGCCAAGTATTTTCAAATTTTCTGAAAAGTTTATCATAATCTAAATTCAAGGTAACTTTTTTCACTCTTCTGTGTCCATTACATGCCATTTCTGTACATTGAAATTTGTCGCATTCTTATTTTCTTTACGTTTAATGTAACTTAATTCTTCTAGAATTACTGGTGTTTTATAGAATTTTTTTTTTCTATTTTATTCAAAATTTTTGCCTCTACTATCATAATCATGTCGAGCTGTAATGTCTTCACCTTGGCAAGTGGTGATTCTTGTGGGACGTTGTCACTTACTGCCTCGGGGGAGATTTCTCATTATTGCTTGCATTTTACCTTCAGACAAGTAATGTCATCATCCTTTTTAGTAGTACTGTACATGTGCGGTACTGTATGCCTGTAACACATTTGTTTTTGGCAACAATAATAAGAGGGTAACTTAAGGTTTTGTCTTTTATTTGAGCGGTTCCATTTGATTTCTTGAAAATGTCTCTTTGTATTGACTTTACAACTTTAACACTTCTGTATGATAGTTAAGAAAGGTTCCTGCAGACATGAGGTAACGTAGCCCCCTTTGAAGAATGTTTTATTAGCACTGTAAATTAGAGGATGAAGAGAATTGTTAAGAGAGCTGTAATGGCTTCAAATATGCTTTAGTTATATTCAGGTCTACATCAGCAGATAATGAGAATTCTCAGAGATACTTGTAACCAAGTCTAAGCCGAGCAGTAGTAACATCTAGAAGTCTGCTGATTTTATTTTATGATCCATAGATGTGCGACTCCTCTTGCACGATAGTGTGATGATAGATGAAATTATTTGTGTCGATTTCACTTTGCTTCAGAGATACAAGGTTTTGTTGAAGTTCTTTCTGTACTGTACTACTACTCTCAGACTGCTTATTGACAATCCAAGGTTATGCTCAATTTCTCCTTTAAAGGCAGATTCTTTGGCTAACTCATCAGCTCTATCATGCATTCAGAGGCCAACAGAGAGGGAGTCCACATGAAATGGATTCTGTTATCCATTAATAATTTTGTTGTATTTGTGTCTAGCTTCAGACACGAGCATGTTACAGTCCTCAGTCATGTCATAATCCTCAGTCTTAAAGAGTTGAGAGCATATAATGATGATAAAGAGTCACTTACAATTAATGTATCAAGTTTGGAGACTATAGAAGACGAATGCGGGCAGGCCTGCAGTGACAACGCTAGCCACAGGGTCGATCCTGGGGAGTTGGCCTCTGTATAGAAGGGTTTCCACCTCCCACACCTGTCCTGGGGCCAGCCTTGAAGGGCTAACCTCTGCAAGGGTGGGCTACAGTGACATCGAGATCCACGAGGCTGACTTGGCTTACATACTAGAGGGTGGTGCACAGCAAACCTGCCGTGTTATATGACCACCTCGCAAGAACATGTAACGTACGATTATGTCACGTTGTTGGGTAGATTAGATTAGATACACAGTGTTTAGTGGGTTTCATAAATATTTAATAGTCTTGGTTACAGCAGTTGGTTGTTGGCAGTGTCGTAGACGTTGAGACGAAATTTAAAGCAGAGTAGAGAGCCGAGTAAGGCAGGAGTCGCAGAGCTCGATGCGGGAGAACGTGGCGGCTCGATACAGGATGGCGAGTATCCAAATTCGATGAGATGGCGAGTGTCTAAACTCGATGAGGCTGAGAGAGTGGTACAGCTCAATGTAGTCGTAGTCTGCTGTCTGCGATGTGTCGGAGCTGGAGCATCTTGGGTTCGATTAGAACTGAATACGCCGAGTGCTACATTCTTGAGGTTGAAGAGATGTGGTAGCACCGAAGCATCTGAAATGAAGTTAACTGAATCACTGTGGAAATTATACTGATGATTCATCGCTTCTCGATTACATATATATGATTGGACTACACCTCACTATCCTCCAATAGGTTGGTAGGATGGAAGGAATTATAACTGTAATTGGGGAAAAGATTTGAGCGTCGTAATTAATGCTAATGAGTTTGGAGTGAACATATTGTTTACAGACAAGTATGAACTGGAGACAGATGTACATAGAGTCCATTAACGATACTGGAATATTGTAACAGGACTATAGTAGCTAATATTAATATGCAAATATTTAAGCAAGAAAATTAATGATTAATTGATTATGAATGATTAGTTGATTATTAAATTTATCAATTTATGAAAGATTGACAAATTTTAAGTGCCAGGTTTATAAAATTGAAAAATTGAGTCTTAAGTAGTAACAAATTGGTAAATCTTAAATATTTTAAGTTAAGAATCGATGTATGTGTATGTGATACCCTTGGTAAGTGAGAAGGGCAGGTAACCTTAGACGTTCTGTGGTCAATGTGGCAGGAGAGGGTGTATTTATATTCTCCAACATTTGTCCATAATACCACCTGACTACAACACTCCACCAGCCTCCAGCTAGTGCTTTTAGATGCCCCATCTAAGCTCTTATATCACGCATTAATTAATCTACAGTTCCAGTGATATTTATGGGGTATATGTATGGGTGACTCCTCATGATTCACAGTTACAGCCCCACTCCTGTGCCAGATAAGTCAACTACGGGCTCACCATAGCCTGTGCTACTTGAAACATTTTGTTCCGAGTAGCTGAATCTTGAACAAGAACAACTCCTCCTCATGACTGTATTACTGTAAAATTCATCTAGTGCACGGTAGCAAGCCCATAGTGAATAATTTTTATTATTAATTATTTAACTTTGCCTAAAATCAACTAGAATTTCTTTATTTTTCTTGGAATATTGCAGCCCTCAAGCTGCTCAAAGGCAATCAGAGACAGTAATCAATTCCCTCCTTATGAGCAAGTGATTTAGCTAAATTTGGAGCACTGTGTTCGGTCCCACAAGGTCTCCGTACCGTCCTTTGTGCTCAGTCCCACAAGGTCACTGTACTGTCCTCTGTGGTCAGTCCCACAAGGTCTCCGTGCTGTCCTCTGTGGTCAGTCCCACAAGGTCTCCGTGCTGTCCTCTGTGCTCAGTCCTACAAGGTCTCCGTGCTGTCCTCTGTGCTCAGTCCCACAAGGTCTCCGTGCCATTCTCAGTGCTCAGTCCCACAAGGTCTCCGTGCCATTCTCAGTGCTCAGTCCCACAAGGTCTCCGTGCCATTCTCAGTGCTCAGTCCCACAAGGTCTCCGTGCTCAGTCCCACAAGGTCTCTGTGCTGTCTGTTGTGCTCATTCCCACAAGGTCTCCGTGCTGTCCTCTGTGCTCTGTGTTTCACAAGGTCAAATTACTGACCATTTCCAGGATGTGCGAACTGAATTGAGTGCTTTGATAATTATTAATTAATATTTTTAATTTATTTATGTATTTATTTATTTATTTATTTATTTATATACAAGAAGGTACATTAGGGGTTTAGAGAGTACATACCAATGAAGATGTAGCATTCTTGTAAAGTCACTAGTCTGCATAGCGTTTCGGGCAAGTACTTCACATTTATTACCCAATACCAATCGACTCTGAGAGTGGGGAGCAGAGTACATGTGGTGGTGCAGGGTGCACATAGTGGTGTCGAGTACATGTGGGAGGGGGGGTAAAGAGTATATATGTGGTGAGTAAATAAGTAATTATCAAAAGAAGGCACCAAACCGGGAAGGCTATGTAGCACCATCAAATGTGCGGAATAATCAGAGGGCGCTAAATATCACCAAGGATGGCAATACGAGAACAGAAACACATAAGGCGAACGATATCAAAAGTATCCGATTCACCAAGAATTCTATCGAGGGACAAGTGACTGCGAGGGACGGTCGGAAAGCAAGACACACGCTCGTCCTGGAAGTCAGGACATTCAACAAGGATATGCATAACTGTAAGAGGGACAATAAGGAGCAGGGCGGCGCTCCATTAAGTGATCGTGGGTTAAGCGAGTATGACCAATCCGCAGCCGTGCCAAAGCAGTTTCCCACCACCGATTACGGTGGCAGGAGGAAGGCCACGGGAACACACTATGTTTGAGAGTATGCAGCTTGTTACCAACCACAGAGGACCAACAACCCTGCCAACGGGCAAGAATGGAAGAATGAATAACAGGATAAAAGTCAGAATAAGGAATACCTTTACAGGAGATGGGACAAGAACGGATAGCTTCCTTAGCGGCAGCATCCGCACGCTCATTGAAAGAAACACCAATATGGCTGGGAACCCAGCAAAACTCTACCGATTTAAATTTACTAGAAATAAGAAACAGCCAATGTTGAATCTCGACGACCACCGGATGGACAGGATTAAAGGACCCCTAGAGCCATGAGGGCACTACGAGAGTCAACTACAACCACAAAGGAGGAATGAGAATGAGAAAGCAAGAGACAAAGAGCATAGAGAATAGCATAAAGTTCTGCCGTAAAGACGCTAGCCTCCGAAGGGAGGTGACACATATAAGTACGGTCAGGAAAAACAACAGAGTAGCCCACACCGTCCGCAGACTTAGACCCATCGGTGAAGATGGAAATAGAGTGGGAGTGCAAAGAAAAGTGCTCAAGGAAGAGGCTTTTCAGAATTGTAGGAGGGGTAAAGGCTTTAGTAATACAAGTCAAGGACGTACAAAACTTGGGAAGGGGGACTCTCCACGGAGGTAAGGAACAATACTAGGAGAAACATTAGAAATATGAACAGAAAGAGAAGCCTGTAAGCGAGATAACCGGACAGAAAGTGGGAGACAATGAAGAGGAACAGGAACCACAGGAGGGGTAAAAGTCAAAGCACGACAGAGGCGAGAGTGAGGATGCTGTAAGGACCGTGTAAGATAGCGAAGACAGTAGTGATCACGGTGGTCCTGAAGAGATAGGAAGTCAGTGTCAGCGTACAAGCTGAGGGTAGGAGATAAACAAAAGGCACCAGAGCTGAGGCGCAACACAGTAAGGTGCAAAGGATCAAGACAGCGAAGAGTAGGAGGAGAAGCAGAAGAGTATGCAGGGCCACAATAATCGAGTTTAGACAGGACAAGAGAGGAGTGCAAATAGAGGAGCATGCGCCTATCCGCACCCCAAGAAGTATGGGACAAAACCTTAAGGAGGTTAAGGGCCTTAGAGCATTCAACTCGGAGGTCATATTTTGCCCCCCCCCCCCCTGCAGTTTTCAAAATATCTGAAATGTGGGAAATTTGACTCCTGAGCGTGGTTTTTGAGCCGAATTCTGACTCTCTGCACCTATTTTCATCTTCAAATTACGAATTTTTATTCCGAAAATATGCCAATAACTGAAAACGGCGATGAGTCATATTTTGCCCCCCCCCCCCCCTGCAGTTTTCAAAATATATGAAATGTGGGAAATTTGACTCCTGAGCATGATTTTTGAGCCGAATTCATACTCGCAGTACCTATTTTCGTTTTCAAATTACGACTTTTTATATCGATAATATGCCAATTACTGAAAACGGCGATGGGTCATATTTTGCCCAAACCCCCCTGCAGTTTTCAAAATATCTGAAATATGGGAAATTTGACTCCTGAGTGTGGTTTTTGAGCCAAATTCTAACTCTCAGTACCTATTTTCATTTTGAAATTACGACTTTTTATACCGAAAATATGCCAATTACTAAAAACAGCGATGGGTCACATTTTGCTCAAATTCCCCTGCAGGTTTCAAAATATCTGAAATGTGGGAAACTTGACTCCTAAGCGTGATTTTTGAGCAGAGTTCTGACTCTATGCACCTATTTTAATTTGTTCCACAGGGCAGCATACTTGGCAAGGGGATACACTACTGTATCCCCTTGCAGAATATGCAAGGGGAGACAAATGGGAACAGGTGGTGTACTGGTTGATACCTGGTTGATGGGGTTCTGGGAGTTCTTCTACTCCCCAAGCCCGGCCCGAGGCCAGGCTCGACTTGTGAGAGTTTGGTCCACCAGGCTGTTGCTTGGAGCGGCCCGCAGGCCCACATACCCACCACAGCCCGGTTGGTCCGGCACTCCTTGCAGGAATAAATCTAGTTTCCTCTTGAAAATGTCCACGGTTGTTCCGGCAATATTTCTTATGCTTGTTGGGAGGACGTTGAACAACCGCGGACCTCTGATGTTTATACAGTGTTCTCTGATTGTGCCTATGGCACCTCTGCTCTTCATTGGTTCTATTCTACATTTTCTTCCATGTCGTTCACTCCAGTACGTTGTTATTTTACTGTGTAGATTTGGTACTTGGCCCTCCAGTATCTTCCAGGTGTATATTATTTGATATCTCTCTCGTCTTCTTTCTAGTGAGTACATTTGGAGGGCTTTGAGACGATCCCAATAATTTAGGTGCTTTATTGCATCTATGCGTGCCGTATATGTTCTCTGTATTCCCTCTATTTCAGCAATCTCTCCTGCTCTGAAGGGGGAAGTGAGTACTGAGCAGTACTCAAGACGGGACAACACAAGTGACTTGAAGAGTACAACCATTGTGATGGGATCCCTGGATTTGAAAGTTCTCGTAATCCATCCTATCATTTTTCTGGCTGTCGCAATATTTGCTTGGTTATGCTCCTTAAACGTTAAGTCGTCAGACATTATTATTCCCAAATCCTTTACATGCTGTTTTCCTACTATGGGTACATTTGATTGTGTTTTGTACTCTGTATTATGTTTAAGGTCCTCATTTTTACCGTACCTGAGTACCTGGAATTTATCACTGTTAAACATCATGTTATTTTCTGATGCCCAGTCGAAAACTTTATTAATATCAGCTTGAAGTTTTTCAATATCCTCAGCCGAGGTAATTTTCATACTGATTTTTGTGTCATCTGCAAAGGATGATACGAAGCTGTGACTTGTATTTTTGTCTATATCTGATATGAGAATAAGGAAAAGCAG